AAGAGCTCCAGCTCCTCAGCTTGTGCTGATGGGGCCAGGACTGCACACAGCACTCCAGATACGGCCTCACCAGGGCTGAATAGAGGGGGAGGATCATCTCCCCTCAACCTGCTGGGAATGCTCTGCTTAATGCACCCCAGGATACCACTGACCACAGTGGGACCACTGGGAACAGTGCTGGCTCATGGGCAGCTTATTGTCCACCAGGACATCCAGGTCCTTCTTTGCAGAGCTGTTTTCCCATCAGGTCATCCCCAGCCTATACTGGTGTCTGGGGTTATTCCTCCCCAGGTGCAGGACCCTGCATTCACCATTGTTGAATTTCAGATGGTTAAATACATCTATATATTTATATATAATTTTATATATTATTACATTATAGCATAAATTGTTACATATTACATGCATACTTAAAAAGTAAGAGAGCAAAAGCTTTCATACCATATGCACACACATAATAAACTGAAACTTGTAAATGTATTTTTCTAAATTCTGTGTCTTAACATAGGAAATATTTGTTGCCTGAATTTACAGTAGGCAGAGAAAGTCTGTGCTGAAGGATGTTGATAGGTCTCTGAAAAGATGATAGTTAAAAAAATTATACTTAGTAACATGTTACCTTTATGCCCATTGACAGGACTGGGTCCTGTAATGCCTTCCAGTAGCAACACTGGAAGCGGCAGGGCTCTGTTATGACTTGGCTAGACCTGTTATGACTTGGCTAGGAGAGCCAGCACCCTACACACCAAATCCAGGGCCCTGGGACCTGCTGAAGTTCTCATGCACATACCCCAGACTTATCCCTCAAACAGCTGGAGAAAATGGCAGCTCAGGACAGGCTGCCACCAAAGCAACAACCACAGGTCCCATTCAGCCCCTTTTTTCTGAGGAGAACTCATCTGGCAGGCTGTCAGGTGAATGAACAGAGAGAGCTGCTCCACTTATCCACCATCAGGCTGACAAGGGATCCCCACAAAGGTTGATTTTTATGAAGTATAATCCTGACAGCCACGTTTAGTCCTTGAATGCTCCTTTGTGGGAGAGGAAAAGTCATCCTTTGTCTGTCTTGTCTCCTTTTACTGCTACGGGAGAGATAACATTGCTGCAATCATCTCTAAGGTTCAAAGCCATAAAAGAGCTAACTCAAGATTACAATACATAAATAAATGATAGCTAAATGGAGGCTCAACATTTTCTGAAATCTAAGTAATCTGTTTGTTAAAAATAGCATCAAAAGGGGAGTGGTGACATAGAGTGCTTGTTGTAAAGGAATTTGAGAAAAAGGCAAAAACAGACACAGAAGGTCTGAAACACTGAAGGCATTATTGGAAAGCTCTGTTGAATTAAAATTTGTTTGATTTGGCAAAAGTTTGTCACTAAGCCATTTATTATTAGCTCTGTCCACTTGTCCACCACCTCATAAAAGTCAAATGAAATTAAAATGAAGCCATGTATTTGAAAGTATTTTTTAATAAATAATAAATATATGATCAAATTAAAGGTAAAAATAGACAGGTAAAAATTTGAAAGGTAAAAATTTGAAAATAAAAAAGTTAAAATCAAGAAGCAGGGAGAGCTGTGGAGAGATGCCTGGAGCAGGCTGGGGCAGAGGGAGACAGGTGCCACACCATACTGCCCCTGCGGACACGTGTCCTTCCCAGCACTCCTCCCAGACACCATTTTCTGCTCCGTGAAGTGTTCTGGGGTGATGTACCAGTGGCTGGATCCTGCCATTTTTGTTATTCAGCAAAGTATGAGTCAAAAGAAGAGAATCTATGAGGCAGTTCTTAGGCAGGAAAGGGCTGGATGGTCAGGAACATGAACTGGCCACACTCCTGCTCCAGGGGATGAAGGCAGCAAAGAGTGCCAGGCCTGGGGACTGGAATGATGCTTTACCCATCAGACTCTGCTGTAAGGAGCATGACTTGGGAAGATGTGCATCACAGGGATCATCAAAACCCTCTCTCAGCTGGCTTCAGCCTCAGGGAAGGGTGATCCCCCATCACCCAGGAGGTGCATACAGATTCCTTCACAAAAACCAAAGAAAGAACCACCCCAGCCCCATGGTCCCCTCATCCCCCCAAAAAACCCCAAGGAAAAAAAAAGAAAAAAAAACAAACCAAAACCAAACACCCATAACAGGCTCACAGGTAACGCTTCAGATGCATCATGCACATGGCTAAACAAAAAAAAAAAAAAAAAAAAAAAAAAAAAAAAAAAAAATCAAAATGAGGAGTGTACAATTTTCAGGCAGGGGAATCTCTACAGAGTCTCATTTAATCACACAGTGCTTCTTTTCTGTTGTAATTTTATTTTGATTTGCTGCACTTTTTCTCTTACCTACTTGGAGTTTTGAGAGACTGTCCAACAGTTCTTTAGCATAAAGAGAACAAAAGAAAAAATATAATTTACAAAATAAAATGGGATTGATGAAATAGAAGACAGACAAAAATGGGTAAGGGACAGCTAAAATGGCATGTTATTTAGAAAGAAATATTTCTAGAGAAGTAGTGCTATTTATTTATGTCCAAATTGGTCAAGAAGTCAAGGTCTGGGTCAGCATAGAACACAGATTTGCATGCATACAACACTCCTAGAGGATCACAAAAACAAATCTTAGCTTCAGATTATTTCAGTATTACAGTAAGGGAAGTATTAAGGAAAACAGCCTGGGAAATGAGATGATTGTGGAAACATCCCAGCTAGGTGGAAATTAGGTTGAGGCAAGAACATTGCTCAGAACAGGTGAAAAAAAATTAGCTGATGGTGAGAACAGTACATAAAGGGGATACATTGTACAACTTCACAACTTTGCAAACCCCTATCCTACCCATCAGCATCTCGTCCACGGTAAGAGTGTTTTCTATGGTCAAGTAGGATGGAACAGGCCATATCCCTCCCATTCTCATTGGATCACTGCTGGGATCCACTATGACACTATCCCTACCTAGGGAATTCCAATTAAAAGAAAATTACCTAAAAATACTGGGACAGACCAATGCTTCAGGGAGCCCAATAGTCTCTCTGACAGTAAATAGAACAAGGGATCGGGGGGAGAATGCAATAATGCAAACAAATACTACCATCTACTACTGTTCAGGCTTCCAAAGATTTTTGACTCAAAGGACTTTCTGAGCCAAACTGGGTATTCAATACATTAAGTGACTTGCCATCACTTTCTCTCCTGTAATTGCTCCAGTTTTCCTGTAAATGCTCTCAGCATTTACAATATCCTTTGGCAGGAGACTCACCAGTCTTTCATTGTTTCATTAAGATTCACCCTTCTTTTTTGTTACAGATCCCATCTGATGACTATTTTCTTTCCTGTATCACTTAGAGACCTTTGGTACAAGCACAATAACCAATATCCATCAGTCATATCATTTCATGCAAAGAACCTACCTACCTCTATTTTGTTGTTGTCCAAACAACATTTATTTGATTACTGTAACTAACTCTCATCTCTACACCCCCAGGTAACTCAAGACTGTTTATTGCTTACCTTTTTCTTTACATAATTTGCAAATATGTTCAAGAGCAAAGCCGAACACAAGTCTCTGCAGAATTCAAGGACCATCCTCCCTTCATGGCAAAAGCTATTTACTACAATCCATTTGTATGCTCTGACCATTCTACGCCCACCTCATCCATGCGAGATCCTCCTTCTCAGCTCACGTCTAGGTTTAATTTGAGACTACTGCAAGGAATTATGGAACTTGCTGACCTGCCAATAAACTTTGAGGTTGGTAAAAACAGGACTCCTTCATAAAACTGTATTGACCTTTTAGAAGCATAACAGGTTTACATGGTTGCTAATTCTAATTCAGTATTTCACATACCCCACAGTGATTCATTTCACTGCTCAAGCCAAACTATTAAGCAAATCATGAAAACCCTCAAAAGCACACGTCCATCAGCTGAAGGGGAGCATCTAGAGATTAAAACTCTGTATCTGTAATCTCTGTGGAGCACATTAGTCCTATTTACTTGGAGAAATACCACACTTATAATCAAAGTCTGCTGTCTTTTGTCAAACAGTTTAAGAATGCAAGGGAGAAATTAGTTTAACTTCAGTTTCAGCTCTAGGGCTATCAGTTTCTTTGGTCTGCAGACTATCCTCCCATTGCTGCACACTGCACGCTAGAATTCCTGCAGATAAGGAACCTCTATGATGACCTTGACATTTTGTTGCAAATCTTGACTTTTTTGGAGGGGCCTGGGGAGAGGCCTGAAAGTGTTTTTCTCCACCAGAGGGACAAAGCATAGGCCTCAAGATTTTTGCTGAGTATTTCTTGGTAGGGAATTGGTTTTCAGCTTTATTTCCTACAGAAACAAAGTGTAGGTAATGATAATACCTTGTGTGCCTGTTCATGAATGTGCAAAAATCCCCAATACATCAGAAAACACATTCCATCAACACTGACAGCTCACCTAGTAAGGAAACTTAACACAGTTCCTTTCCAGAGAAAAGAGGCAACTGCTTCAGTTAATGGGTAACCAATTTCAAGTTTACAGCTACAGACTGCTTTCTTTGAAACTGGTAAATCTTTACGAAGTAGTCATAAAAAGGGAATGGGAAAATTGGATTCCAGCAAATTTCTTCTAATTTTGTGTTGGGTTATTTTAAGCTAGCATTTTAACATTTCATGAGAAGGTAAAATTCTGTGTTGCACATTAGGATGCTTTTAAAAATGAAAGCAGTAGCCAGAGATGACACCACACGACAGAGAGTATTTTATATTAAAATATTCACCACAGTAAACTGGCTTTTTATCTCTGCTTTCATTTTCAGTGTTACAGCAGCTAAAGAGTGAAGTGATTCTAACACAGGGTTTGAGAACACAAAGATTCTGAAGTTTAAATTATTTAGTGTGATTTTTTAAAAAAAGATTATATAAATATCATAAAAAGGATTACAGATTTAAGCAAGACTCCTTGGAGATTGTCAACTATCCTTCACACATAGAATTGCTTAAAGAAAGAGTTAAACATTCAGGCAATTTAATTTTTCTTTTTCAAAACTTTATTAGGTAGACATTACTAGATGACATTGTAAAACCCCTTGTGTGCAAGTGAACGAACTCTACAATGTATGTCTCCCCACAATTAACCAAATCCACTGCCCCCCGCCCCCATTTCTGAATATTCATTCTAAGATGGGTGGAGTGCATTCAAATGCGACTTTACATTCTTCCATTTCATCATGGGGAAGCACTTTTTCAGTCTGTTGCTAACAGGGGCTTGGGATGTCAGTGTAAATGAAAGGAATGCCTTTAAAGGAAACAAAGTACCGTAAGTTGTGTCTTACGAAATTCAGTCTCATATGAACACCAGATTCGTCGTAGAGTCTTTTAAAAATTAAACTGCCTACAGTGATTGTATTTAGCAAAGTGAAGCAATACAGAGACATATCTACTACTGAATACTAGTGAGGTAACATTTTGAAAATAAAACTGTTAAAAAATTCCCTTACTTTCGAAAGGTCCTGTCCAGCAGGACAAACATTGGCAGAATACCTTCCCTTGTATCCATGCATGTACATGTGCATATACAACCTGTGTCTACTATAGCTTTTTAAAGAACAAGATTTTAGTTATACATTCATCAGGACAAGTTTAAAGATCAGACATTACTATGGCAGATTCAACAGAAGATTTCAATGAACCATCTTTCTAGACCTCCTATATGAAAAGGCACTCTGAAGAGGGTAGCAAGAAATAATCCTTACAAAACATTGACATGAACTAAAGCAGCCACATAGGTAGCACACTCAACAGTGATTACTGGTGTACATTTAAAATACCAACTTGAAGATGAATGATTTGTAAAATATTGCCCAAGACTACTGAATATTTTATCAAGTTATTACAGTATGAAGACCACTGTTGCAATACTAGGCAACAGAAAATATAGTTTTAGCTAAATGCAAGACAAAGATAATGGGGAAATCTTATCAGCATTTTGGTTGTGTGAATGCTGGTTCTAGGAGAGAAAAAAATTCATTTAAGAAAACAACTAGTAAAAATAAACAGTAACTCATAAGGTTGATGGAGTATTTTGACACATGGCATCTTCTATTTAATGGATTATAGAAGGCTCAAATTTTAAAATCTTGAGATAATGCTGAAATAGAAGTTATTAAGATATGTAATAATTCACTTATAAATTGATTGCAGTATGGCTCCAAATCAAATTCCCTATCACCAAAACCTTTAGATATGCAAGCTGAATCCTGACTAAACAGTCACAGCAGTGTTCACAGTATATGAAAGCTATATTACCAACTAGTAACTCCAGGGTGGAAAAAAGCCCCTCCTACAGTTTTGAAAAACTCAAGAGTTTCAGGAAAATAAAAGGTTCAAAGGGATATTCATCTTAATTTCTCCTGCTTTCCTTTACAAATTCTCAGTGGGGGAAATGGAACTTATTAAAACCATCTTGTGATCAGGAATCTATAAAAAATAAGACCTTCTAAGCATAATTTTTCTTCTTACCCCCCATTAACTCAATTTCCTTCTGATAATTACCTTTTATACTTCATTTTTTTTTTTTGACAGGTAACTGCTCCCATAAGCTCATGAAATTCAAGGTAGTTTTAGAAAAGTAGCTTATTCCTGACTTCAATAATAGATGGACAACAGTCACATCAATATTAGTGAGAACAAACAGGTCCTTTAGTAAGTTTAGAACTGAAAGGGTAAAATTCCACTGTCTTCTGGAAAACGAAGTAAGAAGAAATAAACCCCACAACAACCATTTCGAAGCTATCAGAAGATGGCAAAATGAGTAATACTTTTCCAGATCACACCTCCCACCCTGCAGTGAAGGGCTGGGCAGAGATCCCAGAGCTGCGCCACCATCTTGATTGATGGTTTCGTCCACCGAGATATCCACCCCAGAGGAGTTACCAATTTGTATTAACAGGATATGTTAGCTCCAGCTGGATAACACTGAAATGCTCTCAACCTGCTTTAAGCCCCAGCCTAGTTGCAGTGCACCTCCATCTGCCATATTCCTTGGTGCTTCCACCTCCAACAATCAGTGTGAACAAGGCACCAGAGAGCCCCCGAGCTGGCAGGTGCAGCCACAACAGGCTGTGCTCAATTCTCCTCCAACAGGCTGCATTTCCTTCAGTGGTGGAAAACTCATGGCTTCTTATGTTGGAGGAGCCAGACTTACTCTAACAACTTAAGATGCATTTCTGCAGAAGTCTGAAGGAAGATGGGAGTCAGGGGAAGGGATAGGGGCAAAGAGCAAGTTAAAAAAGCCACAGAAATGAGATGATCAGAATTAAAATAAGCATGCCAGATTACTTTTATGATCGGCTCACTTCTTCCCTAATAGAACATTTGTCAACTTTCTCACAAACCAAAACTCACTACTTTGGCTTAATGTAACTGTAGGAGTCCACAGAACAGGAATTCCCACACTGCTCTGTTAAGGGGTATGAACACCTTTCATTTGTTTCAAGCAATAAGGCACTTACACATTTTAAATCCCTCTTTATACAAAACACTAAATACTGGAATTCAAGTGTTGCTTTAATGGGCATTGCCTTCCTCCAGTTTTTACAAGTTCTTAGTCATCCCATAAATATACTACAAAAAGTTCCCATCACTGATGCATCTAGCTTGTATGCTGCCCAAATGCAGAACTAGAAATTGCTTTCTTAATGAATCCACAGTGTTTGGCCAGCACCCTAGTTGTGCCAGAAGCCTGTACACTAAAAAGGGTGTGATCTATTATCTCACAACCCTCACCTCTTGCCATTCAAATTAAGCCTATTTTAAAGGGAACCCTTCACCCTAAAATACACAAAACAAGAGATGGGGGCAAGGGAAGACTTCTCATTGCACTGTCATGGAATTAAATTCAGCTTGTACTCCTCAGAGATAATTTTTTTCTTTTTTTCAACACTATTCTCACCTCTACCATAGTGACAAGAATTAACAAATACCCAAAAATGTTATTTTGTACTCAGATGGTTAGTTATGTAACAAAGATGACTGTGCCGTTTAAGTAAATTTTTAAAAATTCAAAATTAAAAGCCCTGAAGAAAAACAGATTTCAGCATCTTGCTTTTAAGTAATGTAAATACAACAAAATTAGTATTTTGCTTATATCTCAGCAAAGCCTTAATGAAGCAACTTCTTATGAGTTCATATTTTACAGGTCCAATTTGATCATCAGCCATTTTCACAAGTTAGTTTCAAATTATGAAATTTAAAATGAGAAGGAGCGCATACAAAGTGTGTAAGAATGGAAACATGGTAAACAATTTATTATTAGATGGTAAACAGTGAAATGTAAATCTATCCCTTGTAATTTCTGGACACAAAGCAGCAGGATGCAAATTGATATGAAAAACTCTTAAGAGAGCATATTTATGCAAAAAAAATAGTCCATGACTAAAGACTGAATCTATCTGCTCATCCAGAGCTTGCATAAGGTACGAAGATGTTTTCTGACTGCATCATAGTTTTACAGGATGGGTTTAAAACACCTGAACAGCTTCTCTGAATTCTGTAAATATAGTTCCTTCTAAAAATGAGGTAAATGTGGCATTGTGTTAGTAACATCATGCTCTTTGACAAGAAGTTAAAAATTTCCAAAATACTGTTTTCAGTCTGACAAATTTTCAACAAGGTGAACACTGAATGGGGTTGGCAGGCAATTGTGTTTAAGATATGTGCAAAATTCACATTAATGATAAAAACAAATATTTTTACACAACAGGCTTCTCTTCTGAATTTCATCTATCCAAACACTTCTGATTAATTTTTCATGTTTTGATAAGCCAAATAAGCACCAAGAAAGGTTTTATTTTGCACAATATGCATATTTTCATAAATAAATCACTATTATAACTATTGTGTTATACAGACAGATTTTTAAATTAACAGCTGGAATTATGTTTCAAAATGTATGTATTTTTTGCTACGGAGTAATTAAAACTTATTACACATTTTTAACTTTGAAACCAGAGCATGCACTCTAAGATCAGTTTTCATTTCCCTGCCTTATGGTATTTCACTATTAGGCCAAGAGAAGAGAAGCGTCAGTAATTAATTGCCTAATATGTGCAGTCTGTTCCTTACTGTAGAGAGAACATATGGTTCCTGAACTCTTATGCACAGGAAGGTAAGGAAGAATCAGCGAGGAAGCTTCAGTCTGCAAGCAACTGCATTTATTAGTTTTATTACAAAAATGTTTTGGAGTGTTACGTACTCAAGCTGTAACAACAGTGACAACACTGTCTTTTAATTGAATCAAGGCTCAGCTGGTTTTTCATGTAACAGTAGCAAGATAAACTACCAAACAGATCAGCAACATAACTTTTTAGATGTTGTGCACCCTCAAATTTGTGTGTTAAGTCCTAAAAATACTGAACAGCTGCAATTCCATTTCTTAGTGTGCTACTATTTGTTACATTGAAGAAAGTGAATTTGAAGAAATTTAACGTTGTCTTTGGGTGTTGTTTCTAATTTTATTAGTGACTCAAAGCATTAAGGTCTCTTTATCATATTAAAAGCTAGTGAACCCTCTCCTGACAATCTTCTCTAATGAGAATGTTGTTGGGAAATTCTTCCCAACTCCTTCCCTTTCCTGTGCGTACTAAACACATTGGCATCGTTCCGCAATGACAGGAGTGGCTCCACAGTAGTTTGCGCTTCTTAAGAAGTGAATCAGGTTTTCCATGGCTATCAATATGCTTTCAGATGTTTTTATAAAAGTATTTGTGACCAAATTCCACACTGGCATAAAAATAGTTTTCTCTGGTTTAATGGGGCTGTGACTGATGTCAGCAATGAAGCTAACTCGCTGCAACTATAAGGCTTAAAAGAAAGTAAGAAATTACCTAACAGTTTCCTCATGTAGGATTCTTTCCATCAGCAGAGATCTAATATAGATTATAACAGTAACAGCAATCTGTGGTTCTTATCCACAACTTGAACCTGCACAATTAGCATACCAAAAATTATGACGTAAGGTTTGCTCAAGAAACAAAATAACACAACTGAATTAAAAAAAAAAAAAAAAACACAAAAAAACCAAAAAAACAAAAACAACTAACAAACCAACGAAGAATTTGCACGGCAATCTATTTGGCCACTGAATATTAAACAGTTTCTCAATTCTAACTGGCGTAAGAAACCATTCCATCACTGGTAAATTTGTATCCTCTGGGAGATACAAATTTATCACTGCCCCACCCACACACCATTTAACATCACACAAACTATGACAGTCTTTGGAAGAGCAAAAAGCCTCTTGGCTAAAATGAATACCTGACGGTGATCCAAAATACTTTCTAGTTAAAATTGGCAGTAGTGCCTGCAAATTAATATTTTTAATAAAGTAAAATTTTTATACTGAATAAATAGGTGTAAATTACAAAAACTCTTAACACACCAGGAAGAGTTACTAAGTCAGCATTAGGAGCATCAAAACCAAACACAAACTCTTCCCTTACACATTTGCGCTGCCTCAAAGGAAGATAATAGATCACTAGAAGTGCACTGTACTTTAATGACACTGAACAGGTAGGAATATGCTGTTTATTATAAAGGTGGTGAAAACTAAAGACTCACTGACTTTTTTGTACAGAACTAAGCCTGATGGGTCAGCTCAGCACAAAGCTACTTGGAATTGTTTTTCTGCTTCTTGCTTGTATTCCCACTCAAGCTTATTACTCTCACCAGCTAATAGACTTACATACGGAAAAGCACAATTACTTTCTAGTCACAAGCTCCTGGATAAATTGTACATATACCTAAATTGTGCTTTCAGATGCCACAGGACAGAAAATGATCCTGCTGCTGATATGGCTGAGTAGCCCTGTGTTACCTGGGACTTGACCCCACTACTGAAATACAACTAAATTCACGTAGTGGAGAAAGGGAGAGCAGCTCCTGGGGGGGAGTGTGTCCAGCCAGCCCTCCCAGCAGGAGCAGGATGGGGAACACACAGCCACGGCACAGGATGGGGAGAGCCCCAGCTCTGACTGCGCGCCTGCACGCAGGACTGAGCACACAGGCAAATCCAGCCCCAGCAAGCTTGGAACAGAAGGCTAGTGTACAACAGATTTAAGCATTTCCTAGTCTGAACACAGGCACTGCTGAGCAACATCCTTGCACAAAGCTAAATTATCTTAAATATCAAGTGTCATGAAAGCAAACACAATTACCATGATGATTAGCATACAGTAGTGTGGAATCTGCCTTAGCAGGTTAATATAGCTGCCTGATGAAGTTTTCTGCTAATAAACATGGAGTAGAACAGCCCAATGGTTCCTTTAGCTACAAAAAACACAATACATTTACATAATTTCCTTATGAAGTTCATTCAGTTTCTTTCAAAAGACTAAATTAATGTTTTTAAAACAAATGACATGGCTTTGATGCATGTAAGGTTTGCTGTGATGAGTTGCTTAAAAGCTAGTGTTTAACCAAATGAAGCTTTGTACTGAGCTACTTCTCAAGCTTTAGTAGGTTACATTATATAATATTGATAAAAATTATATTTAAGTACTTTTCAGGTGGGAGTATTTTCATACAGATGGAAAAAGACCTCCATATCCTTATTCTGCCTGGTTCTTGAACATTTATCCTGTTCTACAGAACAAATTATTGTAATTCCTTGCAATTGCAAAATTATTAATTGGAAAAATTATCATAATTCCTTTTTTTTCTCTGCAGAAAAAGCACAATCAGACTCGCTCATCTTTAAAAGGTCAAAGATGTCTCTTTCTGCTCTGTATAGAAAATGAAGAACCATTTCCCTTTGATTTAATCTGTCCTAATCTGCGTAGATGAAATGATAATGTAAGAGCTGAGTTGTATGTTCCTTTTCTCCATCCACAAGGACATACTTTCTGAATAGAAGTAAGTGCAGATCTATTATCTTCCCTTTTATGTTCTTTATTCTAGTATCTTAGTTTCAGATCTTACTGAACTCTAGTTAAAAACTGAAAAAGGCAAACATGGCAGAGTGAAAACAGCTACAAAGACTATAAGAATATCTCTTACATTTATACAGAACCATGAAAAGAAAGGAAATTAATCCACTGCGTAGTTAAGTACAGATAATCTCCAGTACTAAAATAATCTCAAGTGGAATAGTTTGACACCAAGTTATAGACTGCATTGCAAACCCAAATCTATCTATCTATATATATCTTGCTCTCTGAGGTCTGAAGGTTTTTCTAAATAATACAAAAATATCTTCATTATTTGACATTTAAAGAGAGGAATAAAAATCCCTGAGTAAGCCAAAGACAACTGATATGTATAGCCTCAGAAAACACACTCAAAACCAAGACCAATTTTAAGGCAGCTTCCAATTTCAGACAGAACACAAACAGAAAACTGATGTGTCTCAGAAGAAAGTAAGTCTAAATAACAGGTGAATTTGCATTGACTATAGGCATTGAATTTTATTTATAAATACCACTGCCTCCCTCCTTAATTTGGAAATCTTTGAAAGACACTATTTCTACTGTTAGGATAACAGGGCAAACTTGCCCTTAAATTCAAATGGAAATTATTAAATAGTTATTGACTACTATGGTGTGCTTGAAGAAAAAAAAATGCAAGAAAACAAAAACAGAAGCTGATAGAAAACAAGCACACTATTCAACTATGGTAAACTGATATTTGTGTTTCCAGGTAAACAAAAGTTATCAGCTTCTTCCACTGAGGCTTCGAAGTCGAAGTATCTTGTAACATTATTATGTTGGTGGGGCAGAACACTATTAACTTAAAAATTACAACTGGATTCAGATTTAACAAAAATTTTCAAAGAAAGTGGTACAAAGTACATCCTCTTAAATGATACTTTCTTTGCCAGCCTAAATTTTGAAGTCAGTTGACTCTTAAGGACATTTCCCCTCTTCCTGCTTCCCCTTTCCCCATACATACACAAACATATATATATAAATATATGTGTATCTTCAAACACACAAACTAAAAAGAAGTACCTTCACAGTACAAATCTAATTTTCTTTTATGATTAGCTTGAATTTTTACAGTATGAAGTAGATATTTTTTTTTGTTCAGTTCCTTTCTTTATTGTTTCAGTGTTCTGTCTAAACAAATTTATTCTACTTTAAGTTATATTTGTATGATAGATTTGGATTAAAATTAAAAGTGTAAAAATTCTCAGTAATTGACTCCTTATGCTGAATTACATTGCTTTTGTTGTGATGCACTGAGAAAGAAGTTTGGTAACAAACAGTTGAACTTAAGGAAAAAAGAGCAAAGATAGCTATTCTCTTCAGAACTGTCATGCGCCAGGAAGAGAAACACTGGAAGCAGAAAATAAGAATGAAGTGGTCTCATAAGAATTTATGATCACTTCCCTTACCCTGGATTCACAGATTTTCCTCGTAAGACATCAGTGGATACTCCAAGACTCATGTAGTAGTAGCCTACTCAAGGGAACAAACAAACAAACAAAATGTGCTATTTAGGCTATAAAATTTCATCAAGTCAATCCTCACACAGGTAGTGTGTAGCATGTATATCATATTTCAGGTCAGAATAAAAAGAGCAGGTTGCCAGCTTCCCTGAAGACACATTTCAGGGATATCTTGGGACAGATTAGGCCACTGACACATCTTGTTATCTAAACCCTTCAGATTTTTTTCTGCACTGTGAGAATTTAAAAATTAAGTCCTGTTGTAAGAAATCTTGTCATACCCTCTGCCATTAATATTAATAGACTGTCATAAATAAATTACTGAAGTGAAACCAATCACCATATTCTTAAGTATCACGGCGCTTCAATACTAAGGGTATTTCCCTCTGAGGCACTGCAGTTTGGCGGTGGCAATGTGCACTCCACTAGCAGGACGACTCAGAAGATAACCAGCTGTCATGCTCTGGCATGTGATGGGGTTTTGGTATGCTGAACAGAATGCTGTGTGATGGAAGTTATTTACAGAAGTAGTTTTTAATACCAAAAGTAGTATGCTCAGTATACAGTAAGAGTCCAAACACTTCTAAGCATTTCCACCTTAAAGGCCGACACTGAAGTTAAACGAGCACATGTTAGCAGTTAAATGCTTTCTTCACAGGCCAAATCGGTAGTAGAATTGTGGCTACAATACAGACTTGGATTGTCTGGTTCAGAAACTTAGACTCAAAAAAACCCCTCCAAAGTAATAACTAAAAAAAAAAACCAACAAAACCAAAAACATTTAAAAAGCAGCAGTCAGGGGGCCCATCTTGTTGAGAGTGCACCAGAGCAAAGAAGCTTTCTGGTCTGCAGTAGTGTTTTCAGCTGAGGGAAGATGGCAGGAGAGCCCCCATCCTTCTTCCGGGGCGGTGGCTTTGATGCTGTAACCAGCACTGTATTGCTCTGTTGCACAAAACACGGATAGCCCTTGCAGGACCAGCTCAGTTCAGAGGAGTAATGTCCGTCCTCACCAGGGCATACCTGTCCGTGACCTTTTCCTCTGCTTTTTACAAAGGCAATAGATAGGAAACACAAATAAACCTGCCAAAAGAAGGAAACACGAAAAAAACACATAATTAAATGCAATCTTTTGTGCATGTGTTAGGTTATTTAGATATATGTATTCAGATGGAGCTTTTCATGACTCAGGAGAATTTAGACCAGGCATTTGGACAAGTAGAAAAAAATACTAGCCTGCAACAACCAGTGTCTTGGATAATGAGTTAAGCTACACTTACTCTTTTCTGTTACAACAAATTCCTGCTAACCCTACACTCACCTCTGACAAATTAATTTCTGAATCGTGCTGTTTGGTATACAGTACAAACAAAACTTATAAAAGCACTCTGGAAATTCTTAGATCTAAATTCAAAGCTGATGTAACTAAGCTACTTTTCAATTAGATTCACATGCAATAGAGACAGCATGTTATAATTTTACTTTTTATTTATTTTTACAAGCATCCTCATCTACTGTTAAGTAATAGCAAATATTTATCTTTAATAATATCAAGTATTTATCCTTGCCTGGACAAGGACCTATTTATTCTTAAGTCATTTGAGAGAAAGAAAGCTGTAAAGACAAAAATAAATAAATACATCACAATCATTCCAGTGAAAAACAATTTGTCAAATAGTCTGTACTCTTTCAAACCCAAACGAGAAGTATCTTCCTCTTTCTCTTGCTACCAGCTGACTGAAATGGCCAAAGATTTTCTTTTCAAACACCACTACAGTAACAACATAGAACAAAAGACTACTACAATCACAGGGTTGTTACTTTGCTCAATAGCCTTGTAAATGGTGGAGTATGGTTATCAGCTATGTAACTGTAATTACTCTAATAGTGGTTGGCAGCAAATATTGCTCTAATTACCTCAAAACCAAAGTTTTTCTATAATTGATCAATGTTTTTGGAACTGCTCATACTGCTGGCCTTGATCATATCTTATCCAGCCAAGCCTAGGATGAGACTTCAATGGCACTCTGATTATTATTGCAAATACTGTTATTATATTACTGCAAAACCCTCTTAATTTTTAGTATATAAAAAAGTGGGCTTTTTTCCCCCCACCATAGATTATACCAGATTGCAGACCAAAATAAGATTTACTGACACTAAGAAGCCTTTATTGTTTAAAATTTTGGCATAAAAATGCTTTTGAATAGAATAAATATTTAAGATAAGCACTGCTCACTCTTAAGTGAAGATGGTTGGTCTAAATACAGAAACTACAGCAATATTCCTTATTTGGCCAGATGTAGTCTAGAAAAGCTGTAATAGTATTTCGGTTATAGGTTGACTGGTTACTTCCAGCCTTATTAATATAGCTATCCTGGTGTATTTTGGCTTTATTGTATGAAAATAAAGGAGCCACACCCCAATATACCTCAGGGCTAGGCCTGCACTGCAAATTCTCAGTGGAATAAGCAGTTTGATGAAAAGCTGTGAAGCAGCATGATCCCTCAATGACATATTGCTGCCAACATAAAGAGTGGATATGCACTCACCTGAGCAAAATTATACCTTGTTGTCACAGCTAATCTCCTTTTTGTGGGAAACCCCAGCTAAGCCCAGTAAAAAGCATCTTTGCTGAAATATCTGTCCACATTAATGCAACCACAGTAAGAGAGCTTTGATACTGTAATCAAGTGAGTTCAGAGTACCAGTTTTTGTGATGGAATACAATTTGGCAGCCTTCGCACTGGATCATGTTTTGAGACTGACTCATCCCAATTTGCTGCTTTGTTGCTGTTGCAGCTTCAAGCTGGTGAGCTTTTGGGACTAAGCCTTAGTTCCCTAAAAACCCTGTCATACAAATGACCGAGATTATAAAACTGTGATTCAATGGGGTGATTATAAGGCTGAGTCCAAGTCAGCCCCCAGGATTATGCTTAAATTACTCTGGACTTTTTGCTAGTTTATCTACAGCAGTTAAAGATGTTTGTTTGGAAAATGAAACAAATGGGAATAAAAACAAAGCTAGTAAGCATAAATTTAAAAAAACCCATTTTTTTAGAAAAAATAATATGCTTAATACTCAAACAGCATCTGTGAAATATGTATTTTATCTCCGTGTCTTTGAGATGTCATATAGAGAAAGTCATTGCATAATCAGGATTAGTTTCATTCACATATGTAACTCTTACCTATTACAACAGCTACGGCTCCCAGTGCCAGTCCCAGAACCAATATTAGGGGTGTAATGAGTAGTTTTCCAGCTGAAATGCAAAATTCATTAAATAGTTCAAAGAAGTTTTTAGTTTTTAATTTCCAACAATTCATAAATATTTGAATATCAGAAAATATTTTAATCTATTATTTTAAAAATAATATTTTTTTTACCTCTAAAAATAGGATTCCGATTTGTAATTTCATCCTACAAATTCAGCCAGCAACTATCACCACACTGTCAGCTCCCTATACACATTTCTCTCTGCCCTCTTCACCCACAACAACTCTCCGAGCACAGCTTATTTCATACATTAACAGCTTGCATTTATTTCTGTTTCCATTCTGAAATCCCTCAAGCATTGACAGGAACGTGATAGCTGTAACGCTGCTATAATTTGGCTTCTCCGGAATCCTACTGCACAGCAACCAGCCTGGAGAGATACCAAGCAAAGTAGCATCTTGGAAAGTTTAGGTTAGCTCAAGGTGATGAGACCATCACCTTTAAATACATTTCTGCTTGCTTTAAAAGGTTACAGTGAAGTGCTCATGTACAGCTGTGATTTAGGTCTAAGTCAAACCACAGCCAAGTCTATTTTGGATCTACGTTTATAAGGATATGTTGTGGCTCTTACACAAGTAGGGCAGTGATGTTGAGCAGCATACTTCCTGGCGCATAAGACCAAGAACAAATAAAGCATGCTCATATTCTTTACTTTCTGATGAGTTCATGATTTGTAGAAGTTCACACAGTGAAGGCAGGGGTCTTGCTGGAAAAGTGAATTTGAAACTGAACCAGAACCCAAGCTATCTTCCTTGCACTGCCTGCTTTCAGTAGAACAATCTCCCTGGATCTGTTTGCTGAGCAGTTGCGTCAAAGAGCAGGGACCTGAAATTCTGCAATTCCCTAAGTTAGGTATGTGTTTGAAAGGTCACCTCTAGAATGGGAGAAAAATTGAGTTGTTACCTCTCTCTTCCCTCCCTCAAGTCACTCATATCAGATTTCAGTAAGAGGATTACTACATTCAATAATGATGTAAACCTTTCCATAACCTGAGACACTAATTTGAGCAGTCTGAAGGAAAAATAAGATATTTTGGAAATATTGACAGCAGTTAAACGAACTGGTCCTTTTCTTGCTCTGTTTTGATAGCTTTTAAATTTCATGGGAGTGCAGTAGGTGGGAAACATTAATTCCTAGAAGAAAAAAATTTGGCAAATATTTGTATTACTCTAGTTGCTAGGCATCCTAATGGCATACCTTCCTGGGACTCCACTGAGCTGTGTTCTATACACACAGAACTTGTCAAATACATTATTCAAGTGCAGACAGAAGAATGAATGTAAAGTGATGGAAAACCTTAAGAAAGGTCCAAAAATAAGAAATTAAAAGCATTTTAAGACATTACCAGTGTCTTCAACAATTTCAACTAAGGCTTGTAAAAGATTAGATGCTTAAGGTATGAACTCCTTACTTCATCAATAGCTATGTGATTAGAAGACTAGAAAATTATGATGTTTGGCACCAAAATTATTAAAAACTTAAGTCAATGAGCTGGTGACTAAGTATGCAGAAACAGAGTCTATGGGAAGGGCTAAGCTAGCCTTCAATTGGAATAACTTCTTTTCAGACATAAAGAACAGTTCCTGAGCTAATTCAAGAACTTGTTCACTTATATTTGACAAACTCAGAGCTGAAATAAAGCACGAGTAGTGTCTTTCCTTCTGCCTGTAAATATCAAGTTACGAGTACTGTGTAGTTATCTTTTATAATTTATCTTGTAGAATAAAATGACTTCATCATCGTGAGACCGTATCTTCTTTTGGTCAGGAACGCATTATTTCTAAAGACCAAATTTCAAAACAAATACTTTTTCTACTTGTATATCTGTCACATGCAAATCCTTAATATTTCTCTACCTTTGTAAACCAAAATTAACAAACAACAAAAGGTGAACAAGACTTGCAAATGCTGCCATCAGGAAGAGTACAAACAGCAGCAATCCCTGGCAAAGCAGCGGGTATGTACTATTTGCTGCAATGGTTTTTATCTGCATTCTATGAAACAATTACAAAATGCTCAGTTTTACATGTCAGAATTGAAAACTACTTTATATCCAATTCCAGTTTGATAACTATCGTTTGTCATAGCACAAAAGATTATGAGGCAACACACCAAGAAATGTTACTGAGACTAAGGCTGCTTGCTGCAGGCACCGTCCTACGTCTGTTAGCTCTGAGACTGAGAGCACAGAGAGCAAATCTAATGCCTGTCTCAGAGCTGAATAAAATCTTGGGTCGTTAGCCCATGTGGTCATCTCAGCAGTAGGCTATGACAGCCAGTTTGCTGTTGTCCAAAGTTACTTTTCAAGGGAACTTAATAAAAAGCAATTGAAACAGGACCTTTTTACAATTGCACTCAAATTAATTGTAACAAATTCTCTTCTGGGTGGCCCAGAACGAAGATGCAGACATTTGTGGTGATACAACAACTGTATTTGCAGGTGTCTCAGAGGGTTTGCCTTATTTGTGGTACAGAGAACCACATTCTTCTGCAAAATAGCAAAGTATTTCAGGAAACATGAAGGAATACTTTTCCCTTGCATAACAGAAACTCGGACAGCAGCACAGCAACTTTGGGTTTAGTTACAGGTTTTAGGGTAATATATCCACTGTACTGTCACAGAACAGTTTCTCTAAAAACCATGCTGGCTAAATAAGGGTAAGAAATGTCAGAGATCACTTCTGTTCTCCGGTTTTCTTCTCCCCGTGATTACTATCACCTTTACATAATAGTTGGTTGATGAAGAAAAGTATGTTTAAAATTATGCTGCCATAAATACTTTTCCCTTATTTTTACTGCAGAGCAGTTTGTATGCACTTGTTCCTCAACAGAAACCATGACAGCATGCCAGCCTGCCGTGCAGTGATCTTTTTACACATTCCACCTAGCCAGATTTTAGAAACAACCCAAAAAACCTTCACTCCACATGGCTATAAAACCACATTTATTAAAATATTTATTCTCCACAGCAATAAAGTAAAAAGTCATACGAAACCCCCACATATCTAGCCACACCTCACCAGTCTCCCAGATAGCCAAGATAACATTCCTTTAGTTTCCACTAGTTAGCTAACTAGCAGAGGCATTTTTCTACAGCAAATCCAGCCTGTTTCTCAGTACATGTTACTAAAATGTAGAGTCTATGCTTTTAATGGCATCTCTACTACCATCTCTTTCTTCTGCTGAATTTCAGAACCGAACCAAAACCCAGGCTTCTGCAGTAACACCTACTGATGATAATGTTCTGCTTTTGCCTGATAAAGTATTCACATATTTATATCTTCAGCTCTAGCTACTGGGATCTCCCTGAGCCTGGGTGTGATCCCTAACTGGAATTCAACATTTTTGGGTTTTAAATTTGATCTTAAGTGATTAAGACTAGTAAGCTTCAGCTCAACACATAAAACACAAACAAAACAAAAAATAAATCAAATATCATGATAAAGTAGAATCTGATGGACGGTGCATAAAAGAACAATATGAAAAGGTAGCAAGATATTATTATTTACTAAATTTCATTATAACAAAAGTAGCCAATGAAATTATCAGGAATCAATTAAAAAAAACCACAGTACTTTATCCAAATGGCACATAGTGAAATCCTAGAGCCTCTACCACAAATGTTGTGGAAGCCAAAATTTAAGAACTGTTAAAACTAGTGAAGGATCCATCCACTGAGGGTTATAAAGCAAAGGTTCAGACACAAACCTTAACTAAGAAAGTGTCTAAAGCAATGATTACTGGAAACAAACAGGAAGTGAGATCTTACTTTTAATTGACACTACTGGAGACAGACTATTAGGCAGACCTTTATACAAGCCCAATTAACAGCCACAGATCAATTCTGTTGAATTCTGTTTTACAAAGATAGAAGATCCAAGCAAATTTCCAGCATTGAAAATTGCATAATCCGCAAACAAACTGTATCACAGTTTGGGATTATACCTTCTTCAAAAGGTCAGGAGGTACAATCTTACAGCAATATAACAAATTTTTGAAAACCCATTAAAAACCAATGTGAAAACCCACATGTACACTTGTGTGGAAAAGAGTACCAAAAGCTCGACTAGCTCATACATGCAGGTCACAGCCAAAATCTACTGCAATGGAAGAAGAGCTGTGAGCTCAATTCCCAAATTCAAATCAGATGCAAATTTCTCAAAATTTTAATTTTTCATTTTCATGTATGAGTTCTGTTAGGTCTCTGGAGTATTTTGATAGTTATCCATAAAGTGTATCAGGATCAATATTCAAATCTAGAGCTGTAGAAATGACAGAGATTTAAGGTCATAAGTACTGATAAAGAATTTTCTGAATTCTTGTCAACTTGAGAGTTAACAAGCTATGGTAAAAATGTGGGCACTTATTACATGTGCTGACAGATTCAGGCACCTCTGTCTCTATTCAGATGATGACCATTCTTATGAGAAACCACATCATACGAAAGAGGGGGATTTGGAGAGAAATTTTTAACAGAAAACCCCATGATAAATGTAATCTGAGGCTTTGAGCTTTGCTAATCTTTCTTGGTTTATTAATTAATGCAAACCACAACTACACTTGCAAATAGGAGATGAAAATAAAAATATCTTATACCTTATCTATGTGTGATCCTGTAAATATGGACATGCACATATTTACCATGGAGCTTTAATATCCAAGGCCAGGCTGAACAGGGCTCTGAGCAATCTGATTTAGTTGAAGACACCCATGCTCATTGCAGGTGGCCTTTAAAGGTCCCTATCAGCCCAAACTATTCTATGATTCTAAAAAGGTTACCCATGATTCCGCACATGGGCAGCACTGACTTGGTAATGTCTCAGAGTGCAATCTGTTACTACAGCAGAGACTAATTACACCAGATATAACAAGATCTATTTAAAAAAAGCTTACATTGTTTGCCATTGTTGCTATTACTGAAAGCTTTTCTGAAATCTTACTAAGTGCTTTGAAACAGTTCTTGAAATTTAAGCCTAAATTTTTAATGAACGTTTATATTCATGTGCCCTAATGCCAGCACTGTCTTTCACGTAGACTAGACCTTCTGGTGTGTTCCAACTTATCTCTACAAAATGTTTCAGAATAGGCACTTCCAATCACCTACAATTTTTATCTCCTTTCTAGTTATTTCTATATCTTTAAATCATTTCTCTCAAAGTTTGTTACCAAAGCCTTGCAAGCTCCTAAGGTCAAACTAATGGGCTTGGATGCCATACTGCCACTTTTTTAAAACAAGCTTTCCAGGTTTGCAAATCCCCCACAATGCAGAGCAGCAAGACTGGCATTTTCATTACCAGGTCTACGAGTTTGTGTGTCAATTCTTCTGTTACTCTAGAAACACCTAGTTTTCTTACTGGAACATTTCTGGCTCAGGAGTAATGCTTTCACCTCAGGTTTGCTTTTTCCCTCAAGTTCTGTCTCTTGCCTTTACCTCTACAATCAAGCTCAAAGCATTTCCTCATCCTAGGTGAACTACAAGTCATCTCCAATTTTTATGCCTTAATTCAAATATGAAAAGTTCTGTTTTCCTTGACAGATACCCATTTTTTGACAGTTAATACATCAGTTTTTTTGTAACATTATAGGTCGCCTTACATGCTGTAAACTCACCACAATAACTGAATTTCACATATATGAAAGTCATCACGTAATATAAGAGTCTACTTTATTATCTTGTGCTTCTATAGGTTGAGACAAATATCTATCTGGCTCAAAAGCAAATTATGAGTGCCTTTTGGTTTAATAAAAACACATTTTCAGCATCATACTTTTGTGAGCAAAATTAATGTATATAAGTTGTGTTTTAAATCAGCTTGTTTTAAAATCAGCTTGTTTCAAGCTGATTTTATCTGAACTAAAGCTAACAGTTAGTGCCCTCCTATTTACATGGGAAAACCTTGAGTTTTTCTACTCAGATCAGGTTCAAATCCAAAGAGCCCTTTATTCAAACAGACTTACACCAAGGTTAATTTAAATAAGGTTTCTCCTCTGACCCATTTCTCCAATATACCTTGAGAATAAACACAGCCAGCGACATGCATATTGACAGCACTTTTACAGTTTGCTTATGTATTATATAAAAAAAAAATTAGTAAACAAGCTATCAGAAGAGGACACAATAATTAATCATACACATTCCATCTAAAAAGGGAGGGAAAGTGCCATATATTTAAACACACTTAATAAGCCACCTTTTGAATAACTGAAAAACAAGTTGTCCATCCAATCCTTTAAACCACTAGTTTCAATTTAACTATAATTGCCCTATGCCTCCATCACTTCACTGTGCAGCTCTCCACAAGGAGCATTAATCCACTCACCACAGACAGAGCCTCGCACTAATCTCCTTAAATGTGGTCTTTCGGGGAGGTAGCGGTATTTGCATCCAAAGATACTGAGGTTTGACGTGTGGTCTCCAAAGAAGCGGAGCTGGCGGTATCTCTCCCCACAACGGTAACAGAAATTAGTGTTACACTGTGAACAGGTCATGTGGTCACACCCTTCGGTTCTCTGGATGTGGATCTGTATGAGCAGAAGGAAAGAAGAAATATTATTTTTCCCCCCTTCCTAAGCACAGGAAAGCGGGCGTTACCTGGGGCAGTTCATGCGCCAGATGAAAAGAAGCTGCAAGCAACCCCCTGCAAAGTCACTACTTGCATTAATTAATACTGCAGCTGGCTTAAGACAATAATAGTTTTCTGAGGCATGTTTCAGAGCATTAAATGTGAGTTCTATTGTTTCCAGATTCTCATTTCCTTCGTAATCCTCCTTTTTCGTTTAAATGATCTTCATATCAGATGAGAATTCTTGCCCTTACTGCAATTTTGGTTTTATTCCTGAAGTTGATATGTTAGCACCAAACTTTGCTAAAAATAAAAGCAACACAGTGAATACAGTTATGAACTCTGTTTGACCCCTCCCCAGATGGGTTTCCCTCTTAGGCCACCTGTGGTTCCACTCCCTTTTCCATCACAAATTGATCTGGTATTTTGTAATAAACACCAGAAAGGCACTGCTGTTACAGTACATGATTTGAGAAGTATGAATACTTTCGCCTTTGTAAAAAAGCAAACAAAAAAAAAAGCCACAAACTATACGTGGAATAAAAACTTGCACCAAGCTTTCATGATACTCACAGCACGAAACAGGGCTGCCCTAGTTCTACAGCCATCTTTCTACCAATTGCCTGCTAAATATTTCCCTATCTTGCATTCCAAGACCACATTCCACAGTGGAACAGTAGATAGCTTAATAACTGAGGTTGAAAGTGATGGTCGGGGGTCATCTATTTTAACCCCTAACTCCAAGCTGGGATAACTTCAGACAGATCGCATTGCTCCAGGTCTCATCTCATTAGATTAAAAAAAATTTCCAAGCATGGGTGTGTCACAGCCTTTTTGAGCATTCTATACCATGTTTCACCATCCTCCCTGGGAATACTTTTTTCCATTACATCCAATTTGAATTTCACCTGTTGGAACTTGCAACAGAGAAATCAATGCCTCCTGAAACCTCCTATACTTACCTACGCGTATTTATTTCGCAGGAAGGTACAGGCAAAGACATGGCATGACCACTCAGTGGCCCTGCAAGCACCAGAGGCACTGAAAGCTCAGCGAGCTCTAGAGAAGCTCATGACTCCTGGGGTATCTGACATTTTTGAGAGGGTCAAATGCATTTGTTCTTTGGTGTCGATTAGGGTGATCTGAGCTCTCACCTTGCTCGCCCAAACATCTACTGAAACTGGCACTCTATCCACGTAGCAAAGAGCCACAAGGGTAACAGTAGTTCCAGATACACCCGCCAGCATCCCTGTGCCAATCTCAGTAGTGATCTCAGGATTTGCTTTTCTCTACTTTCAAACACTGCTTTTATACAAAAGAGAAAATATTCACAAATGAGAGAAATGAGCTATTAAAAAAAAAAACACTTTCTAGTGGGCAAGTATTCTAGAAGACTTAAAATTTGTCTGACTGAGCAAACATCCCTCTTTACCCCAAGGAATTCTGCTGTATTACAGGTGTCCTGTTTTCCAGGAGCATCTGAAAAAACACCATTGCTGATGAGCTTTATAAGCCAGTTGACTTCAAAACTTTCACAGTTAAGCACTGACAGTAGGCAAAGCAGAAAGAGAACTCCACCCAATATTATATCAACTTAAGCCTAACTTAAGAAGATACACACTTTTTTTTTCCCCCCCCCGGTAAAAGGGACATTACATTGCCCCATTACAGTTCAGATTCTTATTTCTAGGGTTACATGTGAAAACAGCTGTTGACTCCAGTTCTGGAATCACAGTTTATTTACTGTAATTCCTCAGATTAACTTGAATTTAAACGAAGGTATTTTAATAGTGACTTAAAGTATTTTGACAAATTAATTTTAAAATGTAATTAAAATTAATTTTTCAGGGGACCAACTCAGATAGCAACTATAGAGACTTTTGTAATTTAAAGGGTAGTTTTCCTCATCTGATGATTCCATCTTAAAAATGTAAATGAGGGAACTAGATTTTGTGACTAATGAGAATTAACTGGTTGCTTTATTTTCTTTTTTAATCAAGACTGTTGAATTCTCCTCTCTCTTCCCTAATTTACCAACCCAATTATCATTCATCCTCATTGTAATTCTGTAGAATCACAGAACCTATAAAAAATCCTAGATGCAAACCAAAACTACTTCACATTACAAAAATAAGGTAATTTTTATTGCTAGTAAGAACTTCAAGGAGATGCTAGCAACAGCCTTTTATATTCTACCATTCATATCAGAAATAACCACCTCTTAGAAACTGCCTGCCATCCTTCTACCCATGCTTTCCTAGAAGCCTCCCAGCTCCAGTTAGTCATGCATTACTCCTGAATTATTTATCTATCTAGTTGTTCCTGCCCTGAATTCTCCAAACATACTGTCCTCTTGAAACATGAAATAAGTTGATAAGAATTTATTATCTTGCAGACAAATACTGCAACTACATGCACTTCATATTTGCTCCTTCAAAAAGCCAACCATAAAAATATTTTAGTCAATACTCATCTTCACATATAACTGTCTTCCAATGCTGCTAATCTGGAACAACCAGCTGTACACGCCTATACCTTTCCATTGCAAAAACTCCTTTTTTCCAGTGAGTAAAGACTTGATTAGAAAAAACAAAGTAAAAAACCCCACAAACCTCAGATGCAGGGCTTGAACTCCCTATCACATGCTTTGCAGACTGACAATGCCAGGTGAACTTTGTATCATTTGGTCAGGCTGCTTTCAAGCCTAAGACATGACCAGATGAACTTCATCTCCGGTTCACACGGGCATGCCTCTGTGCCCTCCAGATAATCCACTGAGAGAGATGGATTACAAACCTATAGACTGAGAAAGTGATCGCTGATGGCTCGGATATCACAAGTGTTCCCGCCCCACTGGCAGCACCATGGCGCACCAGAGGCAGCCAGGGGAATGCGTGGGGCCAGGAATGCTGCTGGGGGGCCCGGTGCTGCTGTGTGACTGCAGGCTCCCCTGCAGCGTGGCCACTGCAAGCCCAGCTTCTGCCTCCATGCATTCAGTCACAGCTACAGGCTTCATCCTGCATCCACAGCCTGTTCAAAACCAAAGACCTACGCTCACCTTACAGGGGAAGGTTAGCCATTCAGAAACCCAAGAACAGTTTCCAGAACAACAGGGGTGAAAACTACACACCAAGGGCAAACACATCCAGTTTGGAGTCTTAAGTAGACAACTGAAGTAGCACAGTGGCTATTTCAGAACCTCATTTTACCCACTCCGCATGTCACATGCCCTCTCATAGAAATCTGCTAGGGAAATCACTGCCAAGAGTTCTAAGGATGAGCGGCCATGTCTCCTCCACCTCTGAAGAAAACCTGCACAGCTTTATCATTTTGTATACAAATAAGGACTCTCCTCCCTCCAGAAGATGAGAATTGATTTGCAGAGTGCTTCCAAAAACGACACCCTGAATTATTTGATAATGCCTGTATGAATCAGAACAGATAAGAAGTATACAGGCTCCTTTATTTGCATTGACATGCTTGTTCTTAAATTTCTGCTGCTGTTCCAAGCCTTCTAACCTAGAGTTGCTATGGGGTGTTTCCGAGATAGTGCTGCTTTTGAAATTTGTGGTAAGATAGCACCAACATGGAGTACTTCCTCGGTTTGCTGTACTGTAAAAACACTTGTGTAAACGAAAGCATTTTGTTGCAAACATACCAAGAAATTGTAAAAAAATAACCCCTTAAAATAGTACTGGGGAAAGACAAATAATGTTATAAATTTTGGCAAATGACATCCAATAATGTAGCAAATTTGCACTTATTAGCCAACTTACTATAGAACAAGACCAGCACTTTTTGGACAAGTCTTCTTGAGGAAAATGGTCTATACTGACTCTCAAAACAGTGTATAGTAAATTTGGAAAAGGCTGTATTAAGAAATAAAATTCAAAATAAATTAAAGATACAGTTTAAAAAAGTAGCATTTTTTCCATAGTTCCATACTGACACACAGTCATAACATAAATCTATGATTAAGCATTTGGACTGTGTGTAACATTTTTATTATCTTACGTAAACACATCTGGGAGAGACCAGGTAAATATAAGCGATGTCTATTAGATGTCCTAAAAGCTGTATCCTCCTACAGGAGAAAGCAATCAAGTTTAAGTTTATCTTACAGTCCCTGCTATACTGACATTACAAAGGCTTATGTTCTTTCAAATCACTTACCCAAACCACTGAAATACTTGTATTTGCCTGAGGATCTGCTTCTGTATACAATACCCCTACGTGTGTTTTGATTTTCTCACCTGCATGCCCAGGGAAGATAATGCATTCGATTTCTCCATGGTACAGCTAAAAAGAGTCAGCGTATGTATGTATGTGTAGGTATAAATAATTATCTCCAGAAGCTATCTGCAAAATATGGTCACAGTTTACACTGTAATCAGTATCACACTTTGGAAGTTACCAGGAATTTTACATATTACTTCAGTAAAGAAACTACCTCTACTTAAGTTTCTACCTTTAATTTCCATTCATTTCAATTTTAGTGTAGAGATGAAATACTAGTATCTTTAGACACAATTTAACATTGACTCTCTCAATCTCTTTGCCAATTTTGGCTGCTGCAAATTTTAAAGCAAAATATGAAAGATGCTAAAAATAAAGTAGGTTTTCACCAGAAACATTGCCCCTGTGGACCTAGAACATGGATAATTCAAATAGTGTGCTACAAATTATTTTCTTTGTCAGTCTTTATTTTATTTGGAAATAGGATTCTCATCTGATTCAATGTTATTTTATATACAGGTTTTGGAGGGAGGGATGGATGGGAAAGAGAGGCAGAGAAGCATCAGATCTAATCCCCCTGACTTCAAATTGTTACCTGTCAGAATGCTTATCTCTCTGTGCCCAAACACCTACTAAAGATTTGCTGAAGAAAACTGCTTAAGATGTATTTTTTTAACTACCCAAAGACGTATTTTTTGAACTAACTGCCAGCTAAGTGGTACTTTTGATACTTTCAGGTTATAGATTTGATTTAAATACACTATGTTGACAGAAACATTTTGGACATTGCAGGCAGGAAGAACTTTTTTCTGAAAAGAAAGAGTATCAAGAGTTGGGGTAGCAACACAGTTTAATAAAAGGTTGAATTCCCTCTTCAATATTCACTTACAGTGCCACATTACCAGGAAGGACTTAACAGAGGTTCTTTTTCTGTGCTAGTTTCATAAGTTTCCATACTGCCTCCCACCATGTAGGAGGTTTTATTTTCCTTTGATTAAGAAAAGAAACCTCAAGTATTTTTTAAATTAGTAGCCAAATTCATGCAACTTCATGCTTCAGAATTAGTAACAAGCCATGTAAGTTTCAAGTGTCCAGCCTTTTCTTTTGAAGATGGTGAATATTTAAACATGGCATTTTAAATTTTAACTTACTCATGCTGAATGTTAGACTTAGCAGTTTTAATGTTAGACTTAGTTTTGGTTCCTTTTTCTTTCCAGCTATCAGCCTTCTTACCACTCCTGGTTTTCCACATTAATATTTTTTTTGCTTGGTCCACTTTCTTAAATCTTTTGGATGATTTATTTAAGTTACATCATTCCCATTGTCATAAAATCTGACACAAGTCAAACAATTAAAATCAAAACAGAAACTTCTTCCTGCTCTGAAAGGAACAAAGTATTTTACTTAAAGACTTCCCAGAAAGTGAACATTTTTGGAACTGACTCAAATCTATCAAGTCTTACCAAAAAGCAAGCTGCAAAAACTCTGTTAAAAGGTCACATGTGAGCAGGAGGAAGGGTAAAGAACCAGCTGCTGACTTCAGAGCTTTACAATTTTGCTCAGTGTTTTGAAATCTTTCAATTTCAAGCTACGGCATCACAGGCATTTCTTTCTCAAAGACCAAAATATGACACTTAGTAACCTGATGAACATTTTCTTATTTGCACAGTGTAAGGCTCAAAGTGTTACATATGCTTTGTATGCTTATAAGTAATCTTCCCATTCAATATTTATTTTCTACAAACCAGTCCAGCTTTGACTTATTACTCTGTTGGTACCTGTGAAAAAAATTTTGAACCAATTTAGGAGTGGCCTTCATTAAGGGCAACTGGTGCAGGCGTCTGCAGGGCTGTTGCATCTCATCTGTGTAGTGGGAAGTACTTCCTCTCTCCAAAGGGATTGTTGACATTTTTAGGGTGTAGAACTGCATTTCAGTGTTGAAAATGAATAATAAGAAAGACTTCAGAGAAGTATCCACATTGGAAAAGACTTCTGAGATCATCAACTCCAACCTTTGATCACCTTGTCACCTGACCATGGCACTGTCACATCCAGTCATTTCTTGAACCCCTCCAGGACTGGTGACTCCATCACCTCCCTGGCAGCCCATTCCAATGTTTAACAACCCTTTCTGCAAGGAAATTCCTCCTGATGTGCAGTCTGAACCTCCCCTGCAGTTTGATGCTATGACCTCTTATCCTGTCACTGGCTGCCTGGGAGAAGAGGCCAACCCCCACCGCCTACATCCTTTCAGGAGCTTGTAGAGAGTGAAGAGGTGCCCCCCGAGCTTCCTTTTCTCAAAGTCAAAAAGGAGGCCCAGGGGGGACCTCAGCCACTCCTCACAGGACTTGTGCTCCAGACCCTTCACCAGCTGTGTTGTCCTTCTCTGGACTCACTCCAGCACCTTCAATGTCCTCCTTGAAGTGAAGGGCCCAGAACTGGACAAGGTGTGGCCTGTGAAGTCCCACCTCAAGGTACAGCTTGTGAAGTAGTAACATTCAATCCTACAAAACTTAACAGTTTTGCAAAGTCTTAGTTTCCCTTAGTTAACTTGTTGACAGAGTATTTCCAGCCTTACTCAGACATTGAATACACTCAAACTCTCTGGAAAACCTGACAAAGGGCACAATTTCCCTAAAGCTTTCCATTTCTTTAAAGCTTTATTTTTGGGTCAATTAATTACAAAATAAATTAATCCTAACATTTCTATGATTCATAAAAACCCCCTGTTAATAATTTCCATAATGCTTCTTTACATGCAGACACTGCAGAATCAGTACAGGAACCAGCAAAAAAATCTGACCTGTTTTTCTCAATGGGTCATTAACAAGAAACTGCACAGCATGTGTGGATTTCATTTCAAATGCTGAGCAGAATCTACAAGTATTTATTTTAAATGTATAGTTGAACAGTTTGAAGCCACTACCTGCAAGCCAAGGGAGAGCAGCTCACCTTGCATTTTGGACACTTCTGGGCATTCCTCTGCCCGTGTTCGATTTCGTTGGCCCAGTGACGTAACAGCTTGTCTCCCTTCTTGTATTCTTTGCAGTTAACGCCTTCATGCCAGGGAGAGTGGCACTTGAAACACCAGACAAATTGGCAAGATGGACACTGGATCTGTATAAATGAGAAAACACCACATGTTTGCAAGCTGGGTGCTGATACAACTAGAAAGCCTGTTTAAAACCAGTGCTCCTCAATTACAAGAGCAGCGGTCCAGCAAAGATCTAACATCTTTTGGGGGCTCTGTTTTAAAAACACAAGAAGTTGTGGAAGCTAGCTTGTTCTTTTCCTTTTTAAAAAAGAGAAAATACAGAAGAAATTGCTAAAGCTGGGAAAGGCCTCAATCAAATGAAGCACAAGTAGCTTGGCTTAATCACAGGCACTACTTCCCAAAGTGATTGTGTGGCTCAACTGACAAAAGGCAGAATCCAGAAAACTTATTCAATTGCCTCCAATAAACTTGTGAGAACACCTGAAAATTAGCTTGACAGTTTTCAGTGCAGTGGATGTGTCTTTCTCTAGGAATGAACTGCACTGCCAAGGCTTTTACAGAATGTACTTGATCTTCTGAAGGGGCGCTACAGATCTCAGCTTCGTATGGGTTATAAAGCTTACGTTAAGAAATGGTCCTGAGAAAAGGAGCCATGAGCAAGGCTCTCATCCAAGAGCCACAACTACCAACGGGAAGTCAGGCACCTCCTTTTGCTCTTGATTGCGTCAAGGCAAGCTGAGCCTGTGCCAAACAGCCCACTTGCTACAGACCACACCTAATGGCAAAACCCACAAGCCATACTCAAATTGAGAAAGGATCTGTTTTTTTCTCTCCCTCAGTTTTAAATCATTGTGTCAAACAGGTACCATCATCATCACGTCTTCTTCTAGAGCCTGCTTATTTTTTTAATGAAAAGCTAAGACAGCTGCTGTGTTTGCAGGAGTAATAAACAGAGGCACATTGCAGCTGCTTATCTGATGAAACAGGCCTCCAATCTGGATCATGACTAAGGACAGCAAGAACTAGAAGACACTTTAGACTTAGGCACATCCAGGCTCCTGCAACATGTTCATTTCTGCTGTGTTCAGCAGCAAAACATCTCAGCTGCTCAAGCAACCGCTGAGCCCTGTCCACCACCTCCAGCTGCAGTCCATGTCTGGCACTGCCATGGCTTTGTACCCAGCTGATGGATGGGACTGAGGAATTCAACCAGCCAAACCAAGTGTTTTTGGCTATATGTGTGTCCAGACTTGGCTCACCACCAAACCATAGAAACATCTGTGCTGACCATGCATGGTGTTGGGGTGATTCTCAGGAAACTACATGATAGAGTGCAGTCATATGTGAAGGCCCCAAAACATATTTCTCAAGTTCTCACTCCTACCAGGAGCTGTGGCCTCCTGTTGAGTCATGACAACTGGTGTTATGCTTCCTTGACTACAATTAAGAGTCCAAAGTAGGTGCTCTGATCTCCCTTACATATTTTGCTGGGACTAGCCAAAATTATTTACACATCCAATCACTGCATCTTGTTTAAAGAGAAACAAGATTAGGACTGAAACATGTGGATTACAAACATTGTTAGTTTCTACCTGAAAACTCGTCCAAGGCCATGATAAAGTATTAAACAAAAGCAACACAAAATAGTGTCCTTTCTCAAAATCTAATGAGCCAGTGGCCAATACACTGAATCAACGAAAATATACTAACTTGCATCTCTGCTTCCCTTTAGGAGATGAATTCTCCTAATAAAACCAGCTTAACAAAAAGGAGATTTCCTGCTCTGAGGAACCTAGAGAATGATAGATATATATTTTTACTAACCATACTAACAAAGAACACTGATAAATGTTTACACAATACATTAAAAACCAGTATGCACAAGACAGTCATCTAACCTATCCTAACCCACATCTACCTTTCTTTTTTCCTTTTTGTACCCCACTTCCTCCCTGCATTGAATTTATGTCTTTTAGTAACACAAGTCTGTCCTACTGCTGGGAAGACAGATTATAGCAAGAATCATATTGAAGGGCTCAGTATTTGTTATGCCTCAGCCAAAGATGGAGCTTGTAGCCTCAAGTCAATGTTTTACAACCTGAAAACTGTTATCAGTTGTAGTATTCAGACATTTGAGAGAGAACACAGTTGTTAACAAGTACAAACCCAAATCAACAGGTCAGAAAGTTAAAGCTTCTTCCTTAAAAAAAAGGCAACATAATTTAAACCACAAGTTCTGTTGGGTTGTTTTTTTAATTTGGTTTGTTTTTGATGAATATCTGACAAGTTAATTGCATTCTCTATCTTTTTATTATAGCATGTACATAAACAAAAGCAATGCAGCAGCCACCAGGATATGTATTTAAATTTATACAGACACACTGACATCAGGTGTTACCAAATACATTAATCAGAAAGTACTGAAATACAGGATGAGGCTATAGCCACAGGAACTCAAAATAACATTTCTTACCACAAATGGCCCTAACTGAACTAGTGATAACTCTATGTTTCATTACCAGTTTCCTCTTCCACCTGTCACCCTGACAGCACCTTCCTCAAAACTGAACTTGTAAATAGTTTTTATATTTTGAATGGGTCATTTCACTTCTCTGTGTGTTCAATGCTGAAGCAAACAAAGAAAACTACGTACCTCAAGTACTTATGAATCTTATTTTTCTTGGAACTAGTAGCTGCAAAAAAACCCTAAAACCATTCAAACTTGGACGCAATGTGATGCCCCTGCGCTTAAGAAACAAACAGAACAGGGCAATTAAAGCAGTCTTTCACATTCTTATTTCACTTTTTCTCTGCTTTTCTGAAAGAAAGTCAAATGTTATTTGATTCATGCTTTAGTAGTTATGCATGAAATCACCATAGCAAGGATACAGAAATGCTATCTACATATGATTTTAAACCAGTAAAATATATTATGGTCCAGCAAAGCAGACAAACTATATATGCAAAACAAAATATTAACCTTGTGTTTTTTCAGATATGTTTTTTCTCACACAAACATTTCCCCACTTATTTTATGATTTCTATTTCTGTTGATTAAAATTGAGAGAATGGATATATACACAAACTTCTATGCCACTTGGAGATCAGCCTCCCTTGAAATAGAAAAGATTACACAATTTTGTGTTCTAACTCTTTTGGTTCTCAGCTTTCTGAAACAGTGACCTTTCAGGCTAACATTTTCCATTTTCTTAGCAAGCCTCTTTACTGCAAGCTACTTTATCTATCAGTTTCCTCACCTCACAGGAAAAGACTTTTCAAAACTGATAGATAATTTCAACACAAAACACAACTCTGACCTGATGATAGCCAAACTGACTGCTCATAAAAATATTCCTATAACCTTACAAAAAGCTTAGTGGGATTTCTGCTGCTTGGTGGAACAGTAGTTATATATAGTTATATAACAGGATGGCAAAATTAATTATGCAATTAACTGATTACACGAATTACAGTCTCTAGCTGCAGACACCGTCACTTTATTTGAAAACAAATATGGGCTCCAGTCAAAACATTTTCCTTCTCCTCACCATCAACCCATCCCCTCTCTTGAAACAGCTGAAAATAAGCAACAACAAAACAAACAAATTTTGTACCCCATTAGGGCAGATCTTTGATCCAGCTCCCAGTGTGACTCCAAAGCATCAACATAAGCAAAAGCAGGCTGTCAGGAATGAACTGCTGAGAGAAAGAAGGAGAGCACAGCAAAATCACCACATCAGCAGCAGCCGAGGCTCAAGGTAGATTGAAGTGATGCACAGCCATGAAGATATCTTCCACTTAAAATCTGACCTGAAAGTGGGGAGCTAACAGATCAAAGCATCTCTGCTGGTACAAATTCCTGCTAGTTCTAGAACGGCTTTCAGAAACTCTTTAGAAGTTCAAAAAAAGATAGTTTGTGTAACAACTGCATTGAAAAACCATTTACATTTTCAAACCCAAGCACTCAAGTTCTCCTTTTATGTGACATGTATCTCTTGACAGAAGTGAATAAGAAAACTTCATTATGAATCTCACAGAGCAGAGTATTCCTTCTCCATGGCAAGTGGCAGGACAAAAAAAATAACTCTAGCAGGCAAAAGCCAGGGCTTCCTCACTAAACAAGTCTTCTTACTCACTCTTGTGAAACCTTTACCTGTTCCATGCACAGGAACTCAACGAGCAATTTTTCAATTTTTGCCTATTTCCATTGCTCTTTTGCATAACAGTTCTGAACAAAGGTTTGTTAGGGTCTTGTCTGCAACCACATTACACTCTCAATTCGGGACATATGAGAAAGGGCAAGGACATTTTCAGAATTAATGCTGGATCCATTTGTGATAAAAATATTTTATATAGAAAACTAAATAGTTCTCTTGCTCTTCTGTGTGGCCCTAAGTGGCAGTAATAGTAGAAGAAAGGTTTGGATAAGCAAATTCTCCTTTTCTTCCCCTCCTCCTTCCTCAACATACTTGTTAACTTTCTAGGCTTAGTACACCAAGACTTGAATCTCAGCCAATTGAACTGCTGGACCTAGATCAGCTTAGCTGACACAAATCAACTATAATAAGAAAAACTAATTTATAACTTTGCTGCCTCTTTGAATTTCCATGTTGCTTATAATTTTAGATACTGTATAAAATTTTAGAAATGGCATTAACATTTTTAAAGCATCAGTTCAAATAAAGTCTTGGATTTTAGAGTGCTTTCCCCTTGCAGTGTATAAGAGTGAGTGTACTGGCTGTGCTGTGATCCTACCAGTAGGCCTGTGCGTACGTGCTCCCCACTCAACTCAGTTTTCTTGAAGCCAACACTTGCAGTGCTGGTGCAACTGCTGTTTATATTACTTGCATAGGAATAGGGCAGCCTCAAAAGCCTCCAGTCAGATGTCTCCTATGCTATACACAAAAGAAAATGTGTCTGCACCTCCAAACAGCCTAAAATACAAGACACAATGTGTACATGTAATCACATGAGAACCTAAGAAAAGAGGTAATATTGGTCCACAGCTATGTGTTTATGTAAATTACTCACATATACTCCATGTCATAACAGTCATCTTTTTAAACCTTCTCCCTGCAATAAAACTTCTCCTTGTGGTAAGCTTAAAACAAATCACTAAAACTGTACCTACATTAGAAAACAGTTGAGGTTCCAGGAATATGCTGAAGCCCTGTGGACCATGATCATCCATACTGCTTGCTAGCATTTTCCCAATTATATTTCTGACTAGCATAAACTAGACGTTCTTGCACACAACACCTGAGCTCAGCTCAAAGGATATGTTTTGCCTGAGTCTGTTGCCAAGAGATTTAAGCTCTGCAGATCACAGGTACACACACTGAACCACCACATGACCAGTGAACTGCTCCTGGCTTGCACCATGCATCACACAGTCTCTCATTCTTTCCCACTGTGGTTTGTAGGGCAGTTGGGAACATTTCAACTGTAGCATTTTAACTCATAAAAGAGCACTAGCTGTGCCCTGAGGAATGTTCTCAGATCCGGCAGGCCTGTGATACAACAACTGCACCACCAATGACCCACACTTGTGGGACACTAACAGCCTCTGACACCTTAAGAGAGGAGGCTGCCAAAGCACTACAAGCTCTGATCTACCCTAGGTTACATCTGATGTGTGCTGATGATGAAGCAGATGGGTGAAGGAGAATAGCTTTGGGCAGAAGGAATTTTACTTGCAGTTTCAGATTTTTTTTCACCCCAATGTAAGATGACAAAAATTTGGAAACACTGAGTCCAACAGAGTGTGGCATGTAATTCATGCCCTACACAGATATGCCGCAAATAGCTCATAACTTAGAATTAGCTTTGCCAACCTTTCAAGTCCAATGAATACACAACCTTCCACCTTTTAATCTTCATACTGGGCTGAATCTTACACTTGGTAATTAGGGCTATCTAAACAGTCATCTGAACTCCTACTGAGGAGAACTGGTTTGTCCAGGAAAGGCCAGCTCAATCATGAAATTAACCACAACAAATCTAATAACCAGATGGAAAATTATCACAGAACATGGTGCTGCAGACCACTGTTGTCTCCTGGAACTTAGATGGACTTTCAACAGCTCAAAGCTTATTCCAAATTCTTGCTTTTTATCTTTGATTAAAATGACAGTATAAGTAACTCTTCTATGAAAAGATATTCTGTAGAAATGGTTTTTCCCACCACTCTATTTCTCTGCATTGTGTATGATGAGACTACAGTAATGTATAACCTCTGGTAAGGGAATGAAGAAATCAGAATCAACAAGTGGGACAGTATTACCAAGGAAGAAGCAAAGCCAACAGCCTAACACCATAGGTGTCCAGAATTCACTCACCCAGAGTTTCAGGGAAAACTCTGAAGTTGTGTGCCTAAAATTATTGGTTGTAGTGGTAACTCCCCATTCCCAGCCTCTTCTGACTGTGACCATATTGTTTGCATGTCAGAAAGAAAACACTCCTTAAATTAAAATGTATGTCAGGAAAAAATTATGCCACATACCAAAAAAAAAAATAGGCTAAGAGTTCAGCTGCTTTAACTGTTAAAAGTCAATTAAGTACTTAATCAGTAATGTACTACAGGTTCACATTCCTAATCACAGCTTGCACACAGCTCCAGTGAAACAAAAAATTCATTTAATGCTCACCAAATGCTGTCCTACTTTTGCAGTGTCATCTAACCCACAGCCCCGGCAAGCATGCTCACTTTGTATTTGTTCTCCAATTTGGCAGGGGTAGGAATGTGGCCTCTCCTCCGGAAGGTTGTAAAGTGCTTGCACTGAGGGCATGGCTTGGTGCTGGAGTCAATGCGGCTGAGTTCCAGGAAGTATTTATACTTGATGATGTCATCATGGGGCAGGTTATAGAGGACAGTTGTTTCATCCAGGTGTTCGCTGCACTCCGTGATGGGGCATTTTATATCCGCTTGGCCCAGCTGCACCTACATATGAAAAAAAAAAAAATAGAGCTGTATGACTTTTTGCCTGGAAAACTTAAGCAAGCATTGGTGAATTTTGTGAGGAAAATTAACTTCAAAAACTGTAACAATTCAGATACTACCCAGCATACCATCTTCAATTTATTTAATTTGTGCTTGGTGGAGTTACATCAAGCACACTGCAATTTTTCCAGAGAGCATTTTCAAATCCAAACAGAAAAGCTAATTACCCTGACAAGTGCAATTATTAAACACATTCTCTCAGTGTATGTACCATGGCTACATACACCACAAAACCAAACACAAGTCCTAACTAACGATGCCCACTCCATACTTTGGGTGTAATGGTGAGTGCACCACAGTCATGGCTCACAAAGGCTGTGAGAAAGCAGCCAATGGAAACATTTGCATACTGTTTCACTGCAAAACGACCTGGGAATAAAACAGAGGGAAATTAAAAGTCAATTTAGGATCAGCAGCTCTGACTCCAGAACCCTGAGCTGGTTCCTGCTCAGTACACTCAGCACCTCTGCAGTCTGTTTTCAAGAAGTTCCTTACATGCCATACTGCACAAGCAGAAAGTTTTAGTTGAGCTTGGGGCTGATCAAGCTAATATATTTCCCCAGAACTCATGAGTTGAAAATTTTAAAAATCACACACCCCAACAACAACATTTAAAAACCTTAATAAAAACCAGACAAACAAACAAGCTTGAGGTTAACAGGGCAGAAACTGTTGCTGATCTAGAGTCCTGACAGTCCCAAGCTGATCCATATGTTCAGATATCCACAGTGTGTTTCTAGAGCTCCTGGATCCAAGAACCGTGCTGGACCCAGATCTGCACCCTTCACACTTGGCATGCTTTAACTGCTTGGACTCCATGCCAAAACAGCAGATTCTACTTGGTCTGGGAGCACCACAGTTGCATTAGCTTGGCAGCGAGCCCAAGTTAATAAACCCTGCTGGATCTTGAGAGTCTGCAATGACCCGACTAAAGCACGTTTGTGTCTGCCCCAAGTGGGTTTTGATTGCACAAGTGCAGCTGACCACCAATTCAACTCCTTCCTTATGGAGTATCTATAAAGAGACAAAGGGTGCAACCAGCATCTCTTTCCAGGAATTACTATTGAAGATTGGGAAGTCTGATTTCCCCACACTGCTTATTCTTTAACATCCTCAATTAGAGAAATCTGCCGAACAATACACTAAATAAGACAGAAATGCCTCAGGTTTGGATGCAGATCTCGTTGCTTCATAGTGGTACCAGAAGACACAAGGACTCTACTAATGCAGTATTTAAGCTGAAAAAGGAGGGCAAAACCCTAAAAAGCAACAGAACCCTGTCACTGTTGCTTCAGCAATTGAGCCATATGAACTCTACTGAATGATAATTCAGTCAGGAACCAGACGATTAGAAGAGTCATAACAACATGGTATCAAACCCAAGGTTTATACTGATTAAAAAAAAAATCCTACTGCACCACCTCTGTTCTCTCAGCAATGCAGCTAAAACTCAGGAGAGCAAAGAATTAGGTACATGTTAGAGATAGAAATGCAGGGTGTGGATGGTGGCAGCAAGTCTCAGACCAGAGCAAGGTGGAGAAGACCCCAGCAAGATTGGTGCCCTGAGCAGCCTTGGCTCATGGCACAGGCAGGTCAGGAAGGAGGCAAATTTGTCTGCAGTATGGAGGAGAGGCAGCTCCCCAGTAATACACCCATTCTTAGGAGGGAAATTCCCCACATTTCATTTCCAGCTCTAAAATGTGAGCAGAGCGCTGCCACATGCAAACAATGCCAGGCTCAGTTTGGCTTTTACATGGACAAGAACAGGAGTATGTACTCAAAGACGTTAAAAAAAAACAACAAAAAAATCCCTCAAACCTCATACACTACATGCTGGGGAATGCCAGCATTTTATACCTGTAGGACACTGATTCACCTGTAGCAGCATGTAAAATTGAAACCAAGCATACAGACCACCAGACTGTTCTCAGAAGAATCACCCAGTGCATCAAGAAGCTGTACTTAAAAAGCAGATGACAATCAGTCCAGCACCACGGAACACAAGCGTGCTGAACTAAGAGAACAATTTGCTACAGAAACACAAAAAGCTATTGCACTAGGATTAGCATCAGCTTCTGTTTAGACAAGTATAGGTACACTTTAGAATGGAAAAGTCAAATTAATCCCACCTATGACTACATCATTAAAAAGAAAAAAAAGTTAAGTATTAGGGAGGTATTAAAAAAGCCATATCTTTTTGCCAGGAGTAAACTAAGCTACAATGGGACTTACAATGTAGTAGCACCACATAATGAGAAGATGCATTGTATCTGACAGTACTAAGGCACTGCTTATATTAAATGCTAGTTAGAATAAACCTGCATTTATAAAACCAAGGAATACAAAGCTCAACATTTTCTGTACTTCATGCCCACACAGAATATGATTAATATATGTGGTAAGAGTCAGGTGTGGTTTCAGTGTTTATTTTGAAAATATGTTTTACACCCACTTGAAATAAGTAATTTTTAACCTCTGTAATAGTTTCAGCTTTTCAAGTTTGGCAAAGACTGAGCCTTTTCCTGTGTTTTGAATAGGACTGAAGTGAACAGTGCTGGCTTGCTTATTAGCAGTAACTTCAATGGAGCCTTGTCCTACCAAAACAGTCTATCTTTGTGCACTAACATCAGCAATTGATGTAAGTACAGCTTTAGAGGTAGCCTGTCAGGCTACCTGCTGCCATGGACTCAGGACATGCTACAGAATGAGAAAGGAAAAACAAAATAAAACAATCTCTTATGACACTGGTACAAATAACTAGTTTTATTATTTTCCTTAATTTTGTTTTTGTTTTGCAGAGCCTTATCCCTTCAATATCAGCTTGTCACAATGTCAAATGCCCAAGTTTTAAGAAAACCACTGTGTATTAAGAACTTTAGAACCTCAGTATACAGAACAGCATGGTGTACTTTCACAGCATGAGGAAGGACTCATATGTCTAAGAGCAGCTGAGCTGCAGCAGTGTTAAATGTCAGGCAGCATCCAGCTCTTATACTCAGTTTTGCTTCACTTCTGTAAAGCATCTCAGGAGGGGATATTCTGCTTACAATTCAGAAGGAGAAAGCAGGCTCTAGCTCCTTTCATCCTACAGAAAGGTAACATTTAAATTATCAGGAGAACACTATGTACCTCCTCCTGCCAATTCCTGACATTTTATTTTAAAAGCATTTTTATTGGTGGGTGGTAGGGAGCAGAAAGGGCGGGGGGAAGAGACAGGACACGCACAGGGACTCTACACTGATTTACTTACCTCCCAAGAAAGCAATGATACCACCAACAGAAAACAGTAACAGATGGCATGACACTTTAAGTCAGAAAATAATTTCCACACCCTGAGTCTTCTTTTAAAGGAAAACTTTGTTTCAGATTTTGCGCAGAAAGCAAAGTTCAAACTAGACCAGAAAGCACTGATTTATACCTGTCATTTGGCCTGCCCCAGGCTGGATGTAATGTGACATTTGCAGGCTGTACTTGTGCTGCTGTATTGCAGATATATTCCTCAAATAGGGGGCTATTCTATTTTGTAACATATATCTACAAACAAGCATTTTCTAACTGAAACTCTTAGTTCAGAGATGCACATGCTTAATTGCTATTACTTCTTAAAGCTGAAGGTGAACATGGCCATGCCAAATACACACTTCTGCAGAGAAATTTAACTTCTACCAGTGTGGCACATAGTTCCCTGTAAATTACCAAGGAAATTATGCATTAAAAAAATATTCTGGAAATGTGCAGACGCAAGGGAAGAGAGAGTCTAATCTAGAAGACTTTCACACTCTAGGTAAAGAAACAGCTGGGTTAAAACTCCCTTTATTTACAAGTGAAATCCTATTCCTTTCTAGTTCACTGGAAACATTTCTTTCATTTTCATTGGTAAGTGACAAAGCAGTGAAGAATTACTTTTCTTGTACACTTGGAAAGTGTGTCATTATCAATTTATTTTCTTAAAAAAACCAGTAGTAGTTTGTGGAAAACATTGAAGGAATCACCGTGATTCAGAACTCCACAGTGGCAGGTGCTAAGCAAATGAAATCCAAGTAGACATGATTCAAGAAGTGCAAACCAAAGACACATTTTGTGCACATTTTGTGCAAACCACTATATATTTTGCACCTGCCTTTAAGGTATTTCTGTGTTTTTAGCACTAACTTCATCAGTCTGGATTCCTGATTTGTGTCAGTGATATCCTGGCATTCTCCATCAAAATTCTTTAAAAAAAAATCCTCTGAAATACATTCTCTTTTTCAGTTCATCCATCCACCCTCATTGCTCTCCAACTGTACAGATTCCCAGCGCTGCTGCAAGACAAGCAACAATAAACAGCTAGAACTTAAGAGTAATTAGATCAGCAGCTACTTAGGTTGTATCATTACCAAATAGTAAAGACATCTGTTTTGTGTGTGTCACCTCCTCCACAGAACATTTTCACACAACTTCTTGCCTGTTGTTCATTACTTCACAAACCATACTCCATAGGGTGTTTCACTTTTACTCCCTCTTTAATTCATTTCTCAACAGACTTGCAATAAGTTACTTCCTGAATGCCTGTCTCATTCAGCTACCATCTTCTCTGACAACCATCTGTAACATCACTCAAAGAACCATCACTCCTCTCCTCAGGAGGGAAAGGCTTCACTAGCCTTTATCAGGGCATGTACCACTGTCCTCAAAAGCATTCAGAAGGCATTCAAAATAATATATTTGATCATTAAGATCATGGAAAGCCTATTTACTATTAATAAAAGTTGAACCAGAGTATTTCCTATTGTGTCACCAGCTCAGGTTCTGAGGATGCTCCCCTTCGCATGTCCTCTGAGTCTTTGCTCTCCTTTCACAAGTACTGCACTTGTGGATGCAGCCATGACAGTGACACAGTGATTCCTGCTCCATGTTACATTCAGAGAGAGTCACTAAGGCATAAACACCACAGCCTTAAGTAGACACCACCTCTTCTAGTTTTGACAACAATTTGTTCTCAATGAGTTTTGCATTAATTACTACACTGTCAATGCTAAAAAAGACACAAAAGGAAGCAAAGTCTCAGGGCCTTTGAAGTACTTGCTAGTCCCTCATCCTTCAGGTGAGAGGACTCAAAAGTAAGAAGCTGGGAGAGAATCTAAGTAACTGCATCCAACCACCACCAGCACATCAAATGTTTGACCTTTCTGCTCTAAAAGCAAGTCTTCTGAATGCTTTACAAAGCATATTTAAACACAGCATCAACTTTAATTTTCATCTAGGTCATCTAGTTTTTACAACTTCAGCCAGAGGCTGAGATTCCAGCTTCATTCATAACTCTGAGGACCACTGGCAGGAGCACACTTACACACATCCATGTCCCCAGGAGCATTGTGGAATGGTGCAGCTACACACCAGCGAGGGTCACAGCCAGCACCACCTGTGTGGGAAGAGACCAGAGTGGCTTTAGCCCCAGAAACAACCCAAAACTTTAACTGGCAAAACTGTCCTAGGCTGCCTGGAGCAAAACCCCACATCATTTTGGTTGTTTCCCATTCAAACTTATTTTTCACTCCACTGTCATATCTACGGCTCTCCTAAAAAAGCTATGAGGATAAACTAGAAAGATATTCTTTAGAATGCACCTAAACTCCACTAAACCTATTTCTTAAATGCCTCTTAATTTGCTTTCTCATTTGATGACACGGTGACACATAGTTCTACTCCTTTTTTCCTCCACAGAACTAGGTGTTACCTGCTCACATGGATCTGATACCAACAGAAACATCCAGATTTTACTTGTCCTCACCAAACAGAATAGGATTTACAGAAAATTACTTACAGAAAAACAAACTAATACTGAAATTCTCCTTTGCAAGAAGTGAACAATTATCAACATGGAGAGCTCTCCCTTTTTGTCTTTTCATCTCCTGTTACTTCACTGAGTGAATTAAAGACGGAAACAATTTTATCTCAGCAATGCATTTAGAAAAACTGCACTGCATTAAATTATGCCTCTGCCTGCTACTACTCATCAATCCTAGTGCACATCACCAGCAAGCATGGAGGTTATTATCTGCTTTCTGTTCTGATGTTCTGAAATCCACAACGAGCTGAAACCCAAAGCAGAGATAAAGCTTAGTCCCATGCCTGGACAAAACCTGGATGGCTGCCCATAGAGCTGGGTCACTCTGGCCAAGAGGCATTCCAGAGTTAGACTGACTGACTAGTTAGAGACTGACTAGCAGAATGCTTCATCCTGCACTCTCCAGGGCTCCCAGAGGTTGTGAAAGTTATCTTTCACCTCTCCTCCCCACACGTGTGTGAGGGAAGAGGGAGGGGGAAATCCCAGTGGAGGAAGTTAACTTGGGAACAGTAATGGCAGAAACTGCAAACCTTGGAGCAATCTAACCCAAACCCACAGCCCTCTCAGCATTCATTAAGGGAAGAAGGAAAAGCACAAAAGCTTTCTCATTTTGCCCAGGTGTGCATATTACCAATGGAAGTATGCTTATGCTGATTTTTCTATTCCTTAGAACACACATTCACTTTTAATAAAAGATCCTTGATGCTCTTGAAAGAAGAGCTTTGAGGACAACAGAACAAGCCAGATACCTGCCCTTTCTCAGCTGGAAAAGAGAGGCAGTTGCTCCTGCCTAGGAGAACAAGAAACCCCACATTAAAACTGAGCAGGTGCAGGAAGGGATTTCAGAAAACCAGCAAGGGCCAGGAGACCATCCATGTACCATGACAAATTTAAATAACCTGGGCATCTAAGGAGTGAGCCCTGCTTGGAGGGTCTCAGTAGCATTAGGAAATACTACTGCAAAGTAGCAAAGAAGCAACACCTTTGTTGTAATGGTAGTGGTTTGTTAGGCTTTCAGCATAGGTATAAAAACATTTCCCATGCCTTTCTTAAAGATGGTCAGAATGTTAACATCCATAAGATGATCAGAAGGCTGGAGCCTCTCTGATAAAGACAGGTTAAGGAAGTTGTTCAGCCTGCAGAAAAGAAGGCTCCAGGGAAACCCTAGGGCAGCCTTACAGTTCCTAAAAAGGGTCTATAAGAGAGCTGGAGATTTCCTACAGCTGCATGGAGTTACAGGACAAGGCCTTAACACAGAAAGAAGGTAGGTTTAGATCAGATGTTAGGAGGAAATTCTTTACTGAGAGGGTGGGGAGACACTGGCACAGCTTGCCCAGAGAAGCTGTCAATGCTCCATCCCAGGAAGTGTTGAAGGTCAAGCTGAACCACGTCCTGGCCAAACTGGTCTAGTGGGTGGCATCCTTGCTCACAGCACAGGGGTTGGAACTGGATCAACCCTCTCAATCCAAACCATTCTATGATAAGCTGTTATAGAACAGTGAGAAAACAGGGTCCCAACTTTAACTTGGAATCACCACTTTGGTCTTCAGCCAGAGACAAGAAAAATCCATAAACTGTGAAAATTTATCCTACAGTTATTTATGTTGAAAAAAACAAGATCAAAAGTTCATTCTTCTACTATTCTGCTATGTAGTATTCAGGTTCCTCATCAGACATGAAACCTAGAATAGGCTACTGAGCTCCCATTTGCCAAGCAGTATGTTATTTATTTCAAATAAAACAGGGCAAATCATTGTATATTTGCACAACCTATTCACTAGCCTGTATTACTGAACCTCTCATACAGATAAGCTCAACTGATACCATCAGCAATAATCAATCAAGCCTTGGTTTCTCCAAAAACAGCTGTATGTTTTACTGTTGCACCTACAGAAACACTTCATGATGCTTGATATTCTTCCAATAGAAAGTGGTACTTAGCAAAAAATAAGAAAAGCTCTCATAATCAAGCAAAGGAGGTAAGAGAAGTACACTCTTGCTTATCTTACTATTACATCCCAAAAGACAACTACAAAACCTGACAGAGCTGGCATGGATGTGGGTGACTACTTAAAAATAGTGAGAACTTTTAACACAAATTTCTCAACTATTCTCTTCACCAACCTGATTGTCTATGTTCCCCTGCCCATAGAAAAAAAGGACACACATTTTATAGTGGTTCCTAAACCGTCCTGCTTTTCTTCAGAAAGATATCTACAACTAGTTTCCATGCCTTTGCTAGTTTTGAGTTTTCTTGTGCATGTATTAATAATCAGTATTTTCATGCTTGACTATCAGACATAAAGCCAAATTGTGTCCTCTTTACATGACAAATTTAATAAAGAAACAGCAGAGTTGCATAGGTATAAGCAAACACAAAAGAAAGCCTGAAAAGTATTTTCTAACTGACAGGTCATTGTCAGGAGTAATAGTAGACATTTCTTACATTCAAGGTATAATGTATTATGTTAAAATACCATCACTTGTCTTCCCCTACAAACAAGGTAACCTGAATAAACTTCTTTATATCATCAATTTGTTACCAAAGAGCTAAGTTTTGATTTATAAATAATTATTTTGCTCTGCCTTTTTGAAAAGTAACCCATCTCATTGTACCAGTACCAATCCACAACACAGCTGGTTTTGATGAAAAGCTGCGCTAATACAAGGTACCATGAAGTGACAGAAATTGGTAACTTTTACATGGCTTCAGTAATGGATGTGCATGCTGACCCATTTTCAGGAATAAATCTAGGAAAGGCTAATGCAGAAAAAACTTTCAAGCTTCTCCCCACATGCCATCACTTGGACAAACCCTAGATACCGTGCTATAACTCCAGTGTCATATTACTTCATCGAGTTATTTCTCATAGCACATTTTAAGTTGAAACCACATTTGGATTCACATTCAGTGTAATGATGGATACAGCCACCACAGGGAGCAAGATAAACAAGTGCAAACAGTACAGCCTTCTCCAGGGAGCTGAGGCAAAAGCTTAAACAGTGATTCTGATCCATACTTGGGAGAAGCAGAACTCAAGTCAAGTGTCACCTCAGCTGGGAGCAAATTACCCATCATCAAAGAGTTACACTGTTACCTACGATACACCAGCAGAAACCTACAGCACACAAGAAAAAAATCTTATGAAAGTTGAAAGTACAATTCTGTTCCATAATTGATCCAGTCCTGCAGAGTGCTACACTCAACCTGGTGCACAATAATTTCTAAACAGCTTAAAAAACAGCCAAGCTGTGAGAGTTAATTCTTCTGATGATCAAACGGTGTCTGTAATTCTGGGGTTGTTACTGTGTCAGGTCAGTCTACCCAAGAATCTGATGGAATAGGGCCCCCACTGAAGCTGGAACTTCATACTGATTAAAGGACAGTTTGCGTATTGGTTGCTGCAGACCTTGCTTTTCAAAAGCAGCTAGAATCTTTGTATCATAAACCCATTAGAAACAACAAGGGGGGAAGCAGACAATACGGGTGTTGTACACTAGGAAAATCAAACTGTAACTGTACTTAGAACACCATATTACACTTACCACTTTCTCCTAAAGCAGAGAAAACATTAAGCAAGTTCATTTAAATTCCTAAAGGCAATACTATCAGCTGACAAGGCTATTAACATACTAATTTTTGCATCAGGTTTACAACAGGAGGAGAAACTACAACTTTCTGTTTTTTACAAACTCTTTTTATAAAGACAAAACAAACCAAACCCACTACTAGTTATCTCATCTGCTATTTATATACGTAAATCTATGTTTAACAGAAAAGTATAACATAACATGACCTTCACCACAAACCTTTCACTATTTCAAAACATTGGTATGTATTTGACAAAGATGTTGCAAGGCAGAGTTGTGCTCTGACAGCTTGCTTTTGTGATGAGGCAAAAATGAACAAAGGTAGAGTAAGCCAAGTGACCCTGGGAGACTCAGGGCTAAAATCTCAGTATTAACAGTGAAGAGGAGATTTGATTTGTGCAAAAGTACCGCTGTGATCAGATAAGGCTGTGGAAATACTTGCATACAGGGAAAAAAAAAACAAACCCAAAACAACAGAAACACCACAAGATAAAAAGAAGTTTCCTTTCACTGCCTTAAGTTTTTAATCACTTTGAGAATAACAGCAGTCCCAGACAGTGGATGAATATGGAAAGGTGGATAATTGTTGTTAACAATGAATTCAGATCCCTGCAATTATCCTTTTTGGCTGGTTAGAGAGAATGATCTGGAATAGAAAGGAAAAAAGAGGACTCCTACCCACACAGACCTCTCTTTGTGAATGGTATGCCAGGTTTACCCTGTATCACCAGTTTAATCCAACGGCTCCAGTTAAGTGATCAAACACCTATATGAACCTGAAAGGTTTGGGGTGCAGCTCCAGACAGACCCTTCCCATACCAACTGTTCCCTACCCTGGTGTCACACCCCTTGAGCCACTCTATCAGGTCACAGTCAGCCAAAACTGACATTATCTCAGACTCCACCACGACTAATGGATAAAAATTCATGGAAGAAGTCAATGTAACTTTCCCTTCCTCCTCTTTCCTTTAGAGAACAATTGC